ATAAGTTTGCACATGTGACTTATATTTAGACCAAATTTGACACCTAATGGTAGGTCGTAAATATCTATAAGTGTACCAAATTTGAAAAAAAAAATCCAAAACAGTTAAGTATGTTTTTCAGTCAAATAAAGTTTCCGTACTTTCGGCGCGAAGAAAAGAAAAAAAGACGGAAGAAATTCAAACAAAATTGGAGATTTTATTTCTCACGTATTTCTTAATGGATTGCCTTGAAATTTGGTATGTGAAGTAAGGGTCCAGTAGAGCACACCTGCAGAAAATGTGTGGTACTTTAGATTATCACAGTTCGAGCTACAGAAAGTGGAAGATTGTTAACAACACAGTTAGCCCGGCAGGTTGTTTTGGCCACACGACACACTACCGTGTGTCCAGATCTAGTCTTGTCTTTCCATACTCCCCGACTTTATTAGATCCTTCACGTCAAATGTAGAACATTTTAGATATCCTATGCCTACTTTGATAAGCTTTACGACCTTACATCATGTACCTTCTAGTTAACATCTAAATTAAATAATTACAGTTTATCACAATATTATGAAGGTACTGTATGCAGTGTCACAATTACGTGTCAGGCGTGTGTCACTAAACTTCAATCACAAATACGTGTTGCTGTATAGAAAACAACTCTGATATAATTTAAATTTGACTTACACACCAAATATTCTTCGGAACTTTAAAAAAGTGTATGCAGTATACTATGCATCTTTAAACTCGTATTTAATCTTTCTCTACTATGATAGGTAACAGAAATAACACTTAGCACTGTGTACATAAACAAATAGTAGAATATTATAACATTTTATTACACATTGATCAGATACTTAAGATATAGAATTGTTTTAAAGATTGATCTTCAAATGTCCGAGGGCAGGGTTTGCCAAACTTTTACCCATCAAGTTCTTTTTTCTTCATTTATTTTGCTGGTCTTTATACTAGTAGTCTGTATTTCCCGCTTCGTGTATATTACGGTTATAACTCTTTGAATGGGATTAATTTTATTGTAAAAATGGAGTTATAAATGTGTGTTTTATCTCCTGATCCAGTTGGAGATCGCCACCCATATTTTGGGCAACGCTATCGTAGGAAATAAGAAATGATTAACAAATTAGATATCTTTTATTAGGGGTGATATATTGCTTGTGGAAGTTTTCATGAAATAGTGGGCATTAATAATAGATAAACGATATGATCATAATAAGAAGACTTAAAAAATAAACATTTTGTACCATTATAAAAATGGCCGAAAGGCAGTGGGATATGAAACCGTATGACTAAGGTGTTATGATATTTATACTAATAATGTAGTGACTACGTTTAGATCTATTGGGATTGACCGATTATAAACTACGGTGTGTGTCAATTTCTGATGTTTATCTGTATATGGAAGAAATAGTTATTTCAAAGAACAAGTAACCCGCAGTGCTCGTCCTACATAATGACTGTAGGTTCCAATTGACTGGACACCAGTTGTTGACTTGTAAAACATAATAACCGTCTCACCTGGTGTTGGGTTTCTTTCACTGGATATGTGAATGCCAGCCTTAACTGATTGGGTTATGACGACGTTTACGACAGTGCAATACCATCCTTAACGGATAAATTATCGCGACATTTACGGTTATACATTACTAGTCTTATCTGGTCAAATTGTCACGATCTAACACCGGCCTTCATTGGTTATCAAAAGGTTTACTTTAATAATAGGTAGGCAAACAACGATTTATAAATTTATGTTTGCCTACCTATTATCGTATTAGCATAATGAGCTTACTTACTTAAGTAAAAGGTTTACTTGTTAAATTATGGCTTTTGAGACAGGAGCGACACTAAAAGGGCGCTATAGCCACCCCAATCAGCGTGTTGGGTATGCTGGTGATCTGCACATCTTGACAGTAAAGCCTCCTCAATATTCTGTGTGGCCCATCACTACTACACACACCTGGAAAAGCCAGGCGCGGACGTGTTTTAGAGATGACGCAATACCAGTCTGAACAGAATTAATTTTAATGTTTACAATATTGATTACTTAGGTTCTGTTGCTGTTGAATTGTCAGAGCTTAATAAAGACAGGAACAGTCTAGACTCTAGAACACTAATTCATTAACTATTTTCTGTGATTTATTATCTGTTTTGAACAAATGCAATTGTACATTATTTTTTTACGGGTAGCCTGTGATGATAAACATATGATTTTTCTTTTTTAAAATAGAATAATGCATATTTCAAAGAAGTGGTGTTGGTTGGTATTTCAGTGTGTAAATCTTGTGGTAAAAGTTTCATTTTCAGCACACTTTTGTATACTGTCTACCAACTCGTTCCGCAAAATCTTCTTCTTAAATTATTAAACAAACAAAACAAAATAGAACAAAAAATAGTTTTGGATAATATTCGCCCCTTTTTTTTTAACCCAACTCACACATACTGGGACCTTTTGTTGTGATTGTTCAAAACATCGAAAGCGTTCTTAAAGTTTGACAACATTTTGTAATTAGCTTATTTACTTGCTTTAGTTGTTTTCAACGCATTGGTAATAAGTTATCTATTTTATTTGCAGAGGTTTAGAAATATTAATATGGCAGACATACTCGGGAAGGATCACGGTTGACAGTTCCTTCACGCTTTCTGTAAATCGTTGTATTTTATTATGTTAATATTTATTGGAGAATACAGCGGAACAACGCTGGTTAAGCACGTGCCCTGTTTATTATTGAGATTTACGCTATCAAGTTACCATGACTTGGAATAAACTGTTATTAACCTCGGTAATTGTACAAAGGAATTACCATACGTGCTCATGGCTATCTTATTTCCAGACCCACTGATGCACCTAGCATTCTATGAAAATATGACGTTTTATTTTAGTATCGTAAGGTGTAGACAGTTGATCAAAACAGTAAAAATTTACAAGATAAAATAATATTTTTATTTTATTTTATCCATTTGGGGGTCGGACTATTTAGGACAGTTCAAATCCTGGCTTTATTTTACTTGAAACTGAGTTTTACCCGTTAAACTGAAAGTTATTGTGTTCACTTTGAATAATATTGTTGGTACTTGTAAACTGCCAAGTGGAGTATTATATCTGGAAATTGGATCTACAAGGATACTTGTAGCGTTCAACTTCTGTGTTTTAAGCTAAAATAAGGAATGTATTAAAATAAATGGTTTTATTAGAAGAGATATAATCCATTCGAAAGCTTCTTAACACTTTGAAAGATATTTATTGGTGTGAAAATAACAGACACAAACATATATCTTAATCAATAGAGCGACAACAATGTTTACATTAAATTCAATTATAACCTCCAGTGAAATACATGAAAAGCTAAAAGAGTCAGTTACTGTAAAAAAATTAAGCCAATAATATGTAAATATACTTATGTTTTGGGGTCTTTACCTAGGATAAAAAATATTGAATCAACTGTTGTTAAGCGATAAATCAAATGTCAGACTAATAACCGAAACTCGTCTAAGCAGTACAAAATGTTTCTTAACGATTTTCGTATTTACTGCTGTAGTGATAATACTTGTTAATTGCGTATTAATACATTACTAAGAAGATTTACATAACGTCATCAAATCTGAGAGAACACAGACTATTTGATGTTAAAATTCGTTTGGTTAAATTTAGATATGCACGTGTTTATGGTTACGATTATTTTCTATTCACTACAATAACCTGTGTTCATACGGGCATTTGAAGAATAGCCACATTCAACAGTAGGCTTCACTTTTCTATGAAACGCATGATTTTGTTGAGATTAAATATGCAGTATTAAGAGTTCCACAGTTGGTATAAACACTGCTTAAGTATTGAATATGTAATCATAGAATGAGAGGGGGGGGGGTTCTTAGAGATCACTGGCCTGATACTATGTAGTACCGCCCTTGGCCTGAATAACACTAATACTATTCGGAGACATTAACTACATTCCGATAGGTGTCTGCAGGGCCGGATTAAGGACATGAGGGGCCCGGGGCAAATTTTGTAGGGGAGGCCCTCAAACCTGAGTTTCATAAATAAGTCAAAAGCAGTTCTTTACTGTTTATTAACTACAGTTTAAGCAATCCACTCACACAAACGATGAGTAGATAATATATAAAACATTAATTCTCATAATTGTAATAAATATAAAGTCATGGCAACGATTTATTTTATTAAACGGACGAACAGGTATTTATATGAAAGAACAAGCTGTAAGAACATGTTAATAGGAAGTTACCAGATAAAGTTTATATGAAACAACTAAAATCGCAGTTGTCATAGTGACATATTTGCAAACGCTTGTTTTTCATCGAGACATCCAGTGTTTGAATAATTTATTTTTCTATTAGTTAGGTGGGGCTCTTCGAACCGGGGAGGGCGCAGCAAATGCACACATTTACCCTCCCCTTAAGATATTTTAATCTTTCGAATTAACCCCTCATGTTTTACATAGTTAATGCTTGATTTCTGGGTGAGCTATTTCAAGGCGAATATTATGCTTTATGGCAGGGTGTATAATCTTGCTATAACAACACAGTGGCCTCGTGAGCAAACGAACGTTGTCATGGTCGGAATTATGTCAGTTTAAGTATTGTTAGTTTTAATGCATATTTCATATCACAAGTCCTTCCACAGCATCTTGAATAAACTTAGCTGATAGTGCTGTCCACTTCTGGTGATCGTGACACTTACAATGACGATTTTTCGGTATGTTTTCACAGTCGGGGTAGTAATTGTGGTCGACTTCATGTTGTATAGATGCAGTACTTTCAATTCCCGATACTGGTGGATGTTCTTGTGCACAGTAGATGACATGTGATTAAACATAACGAGTATTTCATTTTCTCGTACTTCTGCGGATTGTGTTCTCTTTCCAATTCACGTAATTTACAGTGTGTTTGTTCTTGTTGTATGTTTGGTGTCCAAGTATATTTGTGTGGGAAATGTATTTATGTTCAAATATCGGTAGTCAATCTGTTTTTTATTCTTTTTTCAGATCGAGAGGATCAGTCTATTTTATGCACGTAAGATATGTTTTTGTTTTCATTTTTTATGAACTTGAAATTCTGTTTAGAAGTTGTGGTCAGCTTTCAATAAATCTCCTGTTTTTTATTCTCTTTTTCAAACAACTTGATGTACTTTTGCTTTGCATCAGTGTTATTTTCCCATAATGATTTTATAGTTATTTAGCGATACACCTAATCATTGAAATAAACATGGACAATACCAAGAAAACTAATTCTGCTATCTAAATTTTCTTTGAAAATAAACCTAACCTCACACGTTGGTTGAAGGAAATTTAGGTACTTTATATACTATTTTCAGAAAGTATTATTCAAATACATTTATTTTATATTTTTATTTTGCTATGCGACATTAGAAGGGTTTATTGTGGAACTTATTTTCGTTCTTTACAACCTTTACTAATTGTCGACCAGAAGAAAATGCTCATTGACGTCGTTAAAGTTGGTTCCTTTCCTTAAATGAATTTCTAGAAGTTTCTATTCTTTAGCAACTAACATAACATGAATATAAAAATGGGTTTGGTAATATATTGCAATTAATATTAACTTCCGATTAGAGCAAGCTACGTACTTAGAGCGAAAATCAACCTGGCAATCAGTATAACTATTAGATATAATTTTCTTACGTTTCTACTTGTAAAGATTAGAAATGCATTGTTTCGTTACTTGTGCACGCAAGCTGTTAACGATATTTTCAGCCGTAAACCCATTATTAATTATCTAATTAAAGAGAGCATTTAATTTGCTTTAACTTTTTGCGGGTTATAAAGATATTTCATATGTCGTTGTTTTTGAAAATATTATTTGTATTTTATGGAAGTATGTGTTTTATCTCTAAAGAGGTGAGTCCGGAGCAGGAAAAACAGAAAACACTAAGAAAGTTATTCAGTACCTTGCATATGTAGCATCATCCAAGCCAAGATCGTCCACTTCAACATTGCATTCGGTAAAGATTTTCTTATTTGTGTTTTATTTGTTTATAAATTGTTTTTCTCACAGTGTATTGTTGTACGAGTCATTAGAAAAATTGATTTGCAGAGGAAGGAAGTTTCGTGTTTTGTGTTCTGTCCTCTGTTGTTACAAATTAAGTTTTTTTGTGATTTAATTTAGTCACTGTGAAAGTATTTCTGTTGCCTTTCTCCCACCTAAAGAAACTTGTGTTTTGTTAACGTCGGTCTCGCATTTAGATTTAAATGGTTGTGATAAACATGTGTATTATGTGTAGTTAGTAAGTACTTAAGAGATCTTATGTTATTAGTATACCCATGGTATAATACGTCTGTGAAAGCTCCCTGCACTACAAGGAGCAACTCAGTGGCATACACTTGCATTCCAATATAATGTTTGGAATACTATAGAATTTTAATATATATATGTATAAGTCAGTTTTATGGTATGAAAAGCATAATATGACTAACTTTCGAATGTTATTACAATACAATTTTTTAATGAAAGAAAGCACACGTTCAGTGGAGGTATTTTACATTTGAACATTCTGAAATGTATATATATGAACTTGTAAACATCGCCGATGTACAGTGATGCTGAATTAGTGAACTTTGATGTTTTCTAAAGATACTGAAAGCAGTTCATTGTTCACTACTCTTGCTATAAAAGCTTTCTTAAGTGTTCTTTTCTTCCACTGCTATATATTAATTTATTTAAGAAACCATTGTGAGAAGGACCTACTTCACGCAGATGACTTAAATAGATGGGGATTAACTATTTTTATTCAGGGTCATTGACGTAAGTATAAAAACCTTTAACTAAGTATAAGTAGACCTCTTTAGTATGGCTGCGAATCAATATTTGTATTCATTTGAGATTCATGTTTAGTTTGGAATATATTTAAATACAAAGAACCAAAAAACGATAGTAAAGACAAACTTTTCAAGGAAATTCTAAAAGGTAAAAAATTAGTTGGTTTTGGACCAACTATTCGCATGACAATTTCAAATCCACTCCCAATAATACAAAGTGATTTCACTTGGGAGGAGTCTAAGAAATTAAAAATACACGTCAAGCAAAAACAAAAATGAAAAACGTAATGTGTTCCGGTTTTATGATTGAAAATCTGGTCACTCTGTTAATGTGGTCATGTACATGTACAGTATTTGGCAAACATGTGCCTTTGGATAAGGCTAGATCGTTTTTTGTTTTATTATTATTATTACCAAGCATTAAGTTGAAAAAAATCAGTTTTGAAGTGTTTTGCTATTTATATATTAATGATAAAAATTTAGAATTTCAACTTGGAATGTTGAATATACGAGCAAAAATAACTAACGCACGAGAAATATAAAACAAAAATAGGTATTTGTCAATAGTTAGTATTTCTTGTATAAAAGAGTGAGTTGCTCAGGCATTCATTATTAATAGACAGAAAGGCGCCTTACTGTCGCAAAGCTGTGAGTTGGCGATAGCACGTGAATAACAAGGAAGCCATATTCGGTTTCGTACTCGTCAATTCGAAAAATATTTGTATTAAACTCAAACAGCGTGTTATATTTAAATAACTTATTGAAAAAGTCAGACGTGACAGGCGTAGTGATTTTATTTTACCTGTGATAACTATAATGCATTTTAATCGCTGTTCTTTATTATCATTCGAAGAATATTGCGTGGACCATATTAATGTTTGAACTTTTCAGTAATTAAAGGGAATCTCTTATTAATAGTATTTGTTATAAAAAAAAACACTTACTTATTAAAATGTTGTGTTGATACCTTAAAAAATTAAGCTTCATTACTCAAAATGTAATTTAAGTTCTCTCTGAAGCAGGAGGGACTTGGTTACCTTTTGAAAACACTAGTATTATCGTGTTTCTTTATTAATTGTGGTTTCAATATTTTCTTGTTTTTCAAGTATCCGTGTGTCTGCCCATCCACAACTTCATCTTGTCGTGTCTCTTTTCAAATTAAATACTTTTTTTGTTACTGTAAAATGTGTGCATTTATTTTACCCACCCTTTAGGACAAAGTATAACAATTATATAACCAATTTGGTTGTTTTAGGACAGTATTTAAGATTTTTAAAAAGTAGTAATTAGGCCCGGCATGGCCAGGTGGTTAGGGCGCTCGACTCACAATCTGAGGGTCACGGGTTCGAATCC